TAGTCGTGTTGCAAAAGAGGTCTGGGAATATTTCTGCAGGTGCATGAATGTGCAATATATCAGCTGCGGCCACCCAAGGGTAATGCTTATGCACTGGTTCCTATAGAAGAAAGAAAGCTCTGGAGAGGTTAGCAAGATTGTTCCTTTGGTTGTTATCTGGTTTCTGTGGTTAGCCAGAAATAATGCCAAACACAAACACTATCTGATAAAGGCTGACAGGATTATTAAGCAAGTTAATGTTCTGATCAATGCCCTTCATAGGGCAGGGAGGATCAAATTTAATGGGAGAAGCAAGTTTAGAAAATCGATAGCTGTAAAGTGGAACAAGCCCAATTCAGGCTGGTATAAACTGAATACTGATGGGGGCATTGAAAGCAAATTCTTTGGCCTCAGGTGGTGGTAGTCTAAGGAATAACATGGGAAATGCTTCTTGGGGTTTTTATGATTATTATGGTGATTGTTCTATACTGGAAGCTGAGCTCAGAGCCATTGACACGGGCTTGCAATTGTGTCTAAAACATGGGATAAGGAAAGTCTGGGTAGAATCTGATTCTAAGGTGGCACTTACTCTTATCAAACAAGACAATGGTCCATGGGAAGTATAATATATTTTACAATCCATTTGATGGCATATTGAGAAAATGGAGTGTAAAATGACACACACTTGGAGGGAAGGCAACCAAGTAGCCGACTGGTTTGCATCGAAATGGTATAGTGAAAGGAATTTTAGATGGATGGGAGTTGGTGAATTCAAGGGAAGGATCAAAGGGCTTGTAAACCTTGACAAAATTGGAGTGGAGTCTATCAGACTTGTTCTTAACTAGTTTTGCATATTGTTTCTAGATTTGTTATTTAGTAGACATTGCATTTTTAGGTCCTGTTTAGCATAGTGCTGAGTTGTTTTTCATTAGTAGCTTTGTAAAGGTTTGTTGTAATACTTTTGGAGGTAAGGTACATAAGTCCTCATCTTTGCATTGTATTTGAATTTCTTTAAATAAATCCATATCCTACGGCTTGGATTTTCAAGTTAGGATATTTTACCAAAAAAAATTAGAACCTTCAATGTAAAGTTGAATGTATACTAATTTACAATCATTAATTCAAAGTGAAATTTCATATATACAAACATAAATAAAAACCTAAAAGTTGCCAAACAAAATTCTCTAACACCGAATTTGAGCCAATCATGCCTCAAACCAAATCCGAAGTTGAATTTTCTTATAAACCACAACAACAATCTTCAAAGTCGAATGAGTATATTACTAAAAAACGAATTTCCAATTTCTTTTGAAAATTGAAATGAAAATAGAAGGTAAAATTGAATACTAAAATCTAAAAGTTTATATATTTATAAAGTTACAAACTCTGAAATAAAGGTAATAGTTGAGAAAAAATATTTTATCTTGTTACTCGAGGAATTTCATTGAAATAATCTTGAAGAAGTCTTTATAACTTTCAATATCATTGAAAGAAATTTTTGAACGATTTTAACCTACGGTAGTACTATGTAATTAGAAGTCATTTCTAACTCGCATTAAGTTTTTGCTGACATTTCAAAACGATCCCAATTTTTAGGGTATTTGTCTAATTACTCATTTTCTAAAGTTCATTTTTTTCAACTTCTTTTTAACTCCATATTCTTCCAATAAAATAATTTTGCACTTTGACCCATGATTTTTCTCTACTTTTTAATACACAATTTTCAAAAAAATTTTTTTTTAACAAAATCTTTTAAAAAAATAATTTTGCACGTTGACCTAAATTTGTTTTGAACCTTAAAATTTAATCTAAAAACATATAATCCAACTCTTTCTATGCTCGTACTTCAAGAATATTTGTTGAGAAGGGCATAATATTCTAAATTCATGTTCCATGTTTTTAATCTAAAATAGTTTGAAGACTAGACAAGAAGATGAATTAAGAATATTAATCTTTAACATTTCAAACCATTTTGGTACGCAATATCGATTATCTTTATAAGATATAACAGACGTATTTTACTTTATTCTTCTTTCTCAATTTTATCTAGTTTAACGTATCAAGCGGGACTTGACAAAAAAAAAATTGTTTTAGATACAAAATAGTATTGAAGTTTTTCAAGAATCCATTATTAGCAAGCTGCTTGGTGAAGTCAGCGGTACTAAAATTGGTTTTCTGTATGCATTTTTCAGATAGCTAATTGGCTATCTATCACTCACTCACTCACCGACCCACCCACCCACCCAACATCTTCAAGTCTTGCATTGGTTCACAAGTATTGTACCAACCCTGATTTTGATATGCCAAATGGAGACAATTCATCTACAAAAATTCTTACACAATATACACGACAGAGAACATATATTTGCTTTCCTCGGTTGGTTCAATACGTAAACAATAAAAAATTCTTTTTAGTTGATCTGAATAGTGATGAAGACATTGACCTCAAATTCGTTTATGAAACAATATAAAGCAGCAACTTCCTAGAGTAATTAATCGAGGGACCGTTTGACTGGACTTCTGCTTTTGCTTCTACTTCTTTTAGAAGAATTTTCTGAGTAAACTACCATAATTGATGTTGAAAACTAATTTTTAAAAGAGTTTCGTCTTCCCGTCTTCCGAGATAGTTTTTAGAAAAAGTTATATTCGACTAAGTTCCTCTAAATGCTCTTCTAATTAGAAGAAACGCCCTTATAAATTAACCAAATAAATCCCAAATGACAATAGCCGATACAATTATTCATCTTTTTAAAACCACTTCAGGTGGCATGTTTTTATCAATTGCAAAATTAAAACATGGTACAATTGAAAGAAACATAAATTTCACCGACTTAGGTCCTGTTTGGATTGGATTAAAATCTGATTTTAATTCAAGTCAAAGTCAAACAATCAATATTAACAACATCTTTCATGGCTCATACATCTTTTCAACCTCATATTTCAAAAACTTCTATCGCAATCCACTAAAAATCTAATTTTAATCCCCACCAAACATCCTCGAAATATTCGGGATAAAGTCATGAAGCAAACCTTAATTTGATCAAATTAGATATCGCATATTTGAACAATTTTCATCATTAAGAACTGTCTGTAAAATTATAACACAAAGCTCGTGACAAATTTCCTACCTTTCAAAAAAAATTCAGGTCAAAGTCAAACAATTAATACTAATCACATTTTTCATAGGTCCCACATCTTTTCAACTACACATTTCAAAAACTTTTATCACAATTCACTAAAAATCTAATTTTAATCCCCACCAAACATCCTCTAAATATTCGGGATAAAGTCATGAAGCAAACCTTAATTTGATCAAATTAGATATCGCATATTTGAACAATTTTCATCATTAAGAACTGTCTGTAAAATTATAACACAAAGCTCGTGACAAATTTCCTACCTTTCAAAAATGTAAACCAACTTTAGTTACTTTACTAATCAGTTACTTTCAATGCAATAAATTGATGACAAACTGTGCAATTTTTTTTAAAAAAAAATAAAAAAATAAATGTTAGAGATTATGCTTAAAGACACAGCTGTGCTATTGCGCTGGGGTCTTTGTCGTTGGGGACTACTTAATAAATGGTTGACGTTGACAGCTACCTAAAATCAATTGCTGATGATGGAATTATTATTAGTAAGGCAAAATGGTGTTTTCATTATAGTTATAATTACTTTCAAATGATTTTTTATTTATCCACCAAATGCTTTAGAGAACAAGTCATGATAATGTTTTGGTGTTAAAAGAGAAAAATTGAAGTCCAAACACGACTCTTTATACAGGTTGATCATGACATGACACGAGAATTTAAGCAAGAGTCGAGTATCTAGACTTGGATTTACACCTTCAATCTCTTGTCGTTATAAATAAAGAATTTAATATTATTTTATTATTCTTGCAATTAGTACACGAATACAAAAGTGTTTGCTTGATCATGCTTAAAATTTATTTTTTAAAATTAGATAAAGTGAAATCTACAATTTAATTATTTTGAATCACAAAAAGAGCGTGCTCTGTTTGTTATTGATTAAAATCAAAATTTAAATTTAAATTAATAATTAATTTTAATAACGTATTTTATGGAATTTACAACTTTTAAATCATACACTTCATGAACTTTTGTCAAAATTTACTAAAAAAAATTGATTTGAATCTCCACTAAATAGAGGCTAAGTCTCAATACTACTTATCAGCCAACACAACATATGGGAAAAGAAAAAAAAAAAATTCAAAAGAGCATATTTGGTAATATTTTTAATTGCTCATAAGCTCTAAATTCTATGGAATGTATATGTAATAAGTGAATAGTAACTAATCAACTCTATCAAATATATGAATACAAATATTTAAGTAGCCTAAAAAAAAGCTAAGCTTTGACAAAATATTCACTTGAACATTCAAATTTCATGCTACAAAATGTCTATGCCTGTCAAACAGAGTTGGGATCCATTGTGCAATTTTTGCTATTCAGTTTGTTGTTCATCCAATCAAGTATTGACACATCATTTTTAAATTAAGACGTCATCTAACATTCAATTGCAATCACATATTTTATGAAATCTAGAATTTTTCAATCACATATTTAATCAATTTTTATGAAAATTTATTAAAAATTTAATTTTAATTTCCAAGGGCATAATAAGCAAAATAAATAAATTTGCCACGAGGTTAGACCTCCTAAAAAATGCCAAAAAATATTAAGAGCTTGTTTGAGAGAGATTTTTGGTGGAAGAATTGATTTTGAATAGTGATATGATGGGAAATGTGTAGTTGAAAAAGAATAAAAAATTATTGATGTGATAGAAAATATTATTTAATTGAAAAATGTGTGATTGAAAATGAGAATTAATTTATTGTAAAAAAATTTAATTCCTCCCAAAGAAGGCCTAAGAAAAGTCAAAGTCATATCGTTTAAAGTTGAAATCAACAATTTGCGAACCTACTGCGTGCCAGTTACCCGCCCTCTCTCTCTCTCTCTCTCTCTCTCTCCATACACATTAGTTACGCATCATTATTAGCAATGAAAAGTCCATCGTTTGATAGTGGCCGGCGCCGGAGTTCTAGCTCCGGCTTACCGGCAAAGATGATCCACTCGCGGAGTTCCTCTAACTATTCCTCTTCCACTGCTTCTACCTCTTCGCACAAGTCAACCACCGGTTCCACTAAGAACCCCGTCAAGAACGCCGCCCGTTCTATGGCCGACGCGTTGGTGGCTTGTTTTACGCCGCCGGAGACGCCCAATAACTCCGGCGACTTGAGTGTTTCTTCAGGTATGTCATCTGATTTATACTTCTGTCCATGTGTACTGTGTTTTGCTGAAATGTGTTTGTGATTTTGTCTGAAGGCAAAATATGGTTCTTGAGTTGACTAAGTATTTGGTGATATGCTCAAGATATTTTCTTTTGGTTTGTGAGATTTTATTTTTCTGGTCAGATTTTTTCTTTGTTTCTCTTTTAGTTTTTTACTTATTTGGGGATTTTTTTTTTTTTGCTATTGATAGAATATTACTTGAATGGATAAGATAAGAATTAGGATCTTCTGTTATATATCTTTAAGATACATTACTTTTCCTAAATTTATTTGCTTGATTCTTTTCAAAGTGCATTCATATTGGCATTGGCTTTGTAGCCATATGTAAAATCTTGAAACCGGTATAGTTTTGAACAAAGAACTATTGCAAGATCTATTCCTCTATCTCCTTTAGAAATTCGGAAAACATTATTTCTAAGGGCATTGGTTTTTTTCTGATTTACAATTTCCAATTGTAAAAATTATATGCCAAGGAGATCTAAGGAATTAATCAGGCAGATGCATATTTTTTATGGCTGGATTTATTCTTTTGCATTTATGCATCTTTGGTCGGAATGAGTGCATAGGACTTTATAGTATTATGTTAGAAAAAGTTAAAATCTTATTCATTACTTTGTCTAATCCTTTCTAGCATTGCATACCAATCTTGCACTCAAGGGTTTGCAAACTGCATACAGTATCATGTATGAAGCAGATATAAGATCATTTTCTCTATATGAAACTAAAGAATCCCGAGGAAGTTGGAGTGTTCCTTTTTGAGAATCGGAAAACTTTCTGATACATTGTTACATTGAAAAATCAATGCCCTTTTTATATAATGAATTGGAATAGAAGCTGAGGTGAAGTAACTGTTTTACCTGATCGATATTTAGATAAGTCGGATACTTCAAATTCTGGTGGCAAGAGAAGAAGTAATTCATATCGGGGAATCTATGGTAGTTCCAGCAATTCAACGTGCAAAGGAGGAGAACCGGGGACTACTAAATTCACCATTGAAGAAATCTATAAGGCCACCAAAAATTTTTCGCCTAGCTTCAAAATTGGACAAGGAGGTTTTGGGACAGTCTACAAGGGTCGACTCGAAGATGGAACTTTGGTTGCAGTTAAACGTGCTAAGAAGGTTGGAGGTCAACAAAAATGAACTTGGATCTGAAATGAATAACATTGAAGTTACTGTCACCACTATTATTGCTATTTTGTTTTCAAGGTTCTTCCTTCTGTGCAGATTGTCTATGATAAACATTTAGGGACGGAGTTTCAGAGTGAGGTTCGAACACTGGCACAAGTGGAACATCTAAATCTAGTAAAATTTCATGGTTATTTGGAGCACGGAGATGAAAGGATTATTGTTGTCGAGCACGTTCCAAATGGAACCCTTAGAGAACAATTGGACTGTGAGTTCTTTCTCTACCTTATTGAATAAGTTGCCGTCATTTTCTATGATTCATTTTACATCTTAAATTCTTACATATGTGGTTCTTAGTTCTATTTTGCGTAATTTAGTGCCTGTTAAAGATAATGGAGGATCTCCGTGATACCCTGTGTACTTTTAGAGTTATTTATAACGTTTATTGTGTCATTCTCTTTGTAATTCCTAGACATAAAAGTTATACAAATTCTCTCGCCCCTCTGTATTTTGTCTCAAATATATTCTCATCTATATTTTATAATGGTGCTAACATGTGATTTACTGATCTAGGTGTGCATGGTAATGTTCTTGATTTTGCTGCAAGGTTAGATATTGCAATAGACGTGGCGCACGCAGTAACCTACCTCCACATGTACACAGGTAAAAATTCGGTAGCTGCCCTGTTATTATGGTTCTTCGATGTGGGCAATTTAGTTTCTGTAATTGAGTTGCGTTTTATGTAGATCATCCCATCATCCATAGAGATATCAAGTCTTCCAACATTCTTCTCACGGAGAACCTACGAGCTAAAGTAGCTGACTTTGGTTTTGCTCGGCTAGCCGCTGACAGTGAATTGGGAGAGACACATGTTTCGACCCAAGTAAAAGGAACTGCTGGCTATTTAGACCCTGAATACCTGAAGACCTACCAACTTACAGAGAAGAGTGATGTTTATTCATTCGGTGTATTATTAGTGGAACTAATTACAGGCAGGCGTCCGATTGAGCCAAAACGGGAGCTGAAGGAACGGATTACTGCTAGATGGGTAGGACCCTCTCTTTTGCCCTCTCTCTAATGTGTAAAATTGCAGTTGATGATGGCAACTATTGAACATGCTTGTTGAACCACCTCATTTAAACTCTGCGACAGCCGAACATTTTTATTTTTCTATTTATTTAAATAGTCTTCAATACTCCCATAACATGGGGGATGAATTCATATTTTCTTTAAAGAGGCCATACACACATAATTTTTGTATACAAGTAGGCGCGAGACTTGAACTTAAGACATATGCGTGCTCTAATATAATGTTGAATTACCCCATCTAGAGGCTTAAACTGTTAAGAGAGGGAACACTTTTGTTTATTTAAATTTAGTTTTCAACATCTACTCGGATGATTTCTTGAACAAGAACCTTTTTTTCTATACCTCGACTAATTTAGGTCAGGCACACTGTAATGTTGGTTGATTCTTTCTGTAGTTGATATGAATTGATTTAAGTGCAGGCTATGAAGAAGTTTACTGATGGAGATGCAATCTTAACTTTGGATCCAAGGCTGCAGAGGTCCCCTGCAAATAACTTTGCAATGGAAAAGATTCTTGAATTAGCCTTGCAATGTTTGGCTCCTCATCGACATAACAGGCCTCCCATGAAGAAGTGTGCGGAGATTCTTTGGAGTATACGCAAGGATTACAAAGAATTCTCGACTTCAAATACCCCTTCACTCTCTTCGAATGCTCAGAGTAGTAGCTTAATCAGACAAGAATAAGCACCATATGTGTGATTTGGGGCAAGTATTTTCATTCGAATAACTTGATTTCATTGAGATGCATGGAGAAAATACTGCAAGAGCAACAGTCATAAAGTAGAACACATTGTCACAGTGCGAATAGAAGAGAAGAGAGCACTCGAAGGTGTTTGGCCTATTGCAAAGATGTTGAAGTGCTATATTAGATCATGATGTTTGGCTTCTGCAGATGGGGACAGATTATATTTTGCCTAATTTAGGCAATTGTATATATTGATTTGAGAAGTATCTTTTCTATGTATATTCACCTGTGAAATTTGATTGGTTTGGCTTACATTTTGTGATTATGAAATTGTATATTGATTTGAGAAGTAACTTTTCCACGTATTCACCTGTGAAATTTGATTGGTTTGTTGAATTTTTGTGGTTTTGAATTCGGCCGATGATTCATGATAAGATGGACTGTACGCCACTATACTTTGAGTGATAGAGCCCTATGCATACGTGGCCACGAGTTGGCCCTTTGCTATCCCTAGTGCTTATGAATTTAGAGCCATGCTACAGGAACCGTGGGGATGACCGCGTCGGTGACAGCACACACACACATGGGGGGTCGGGATTATTTTATTCAGGTGGGACCCTCGCCTCGGCTGTGTGGGCGCGGTCATCCATGTGGGTCGTCTAGAATAATTCATGAATTTATAAATGGGGCTAAAATTGGTGCAGAAGCGAAAATGGAATTCTAGAAACAAGAATAAAGTTGAAAAGTCAGAATTAATGATTGAAAAATTGTACAAAGCCTTCGCATATATAGGTAAAATTATTTTCTAAACTTACTAGTATAAGGAAACTAAAATAAAATTCTAAGAGGAGAGAAACCAAAATCCTAATCTAAAAGAAAAAAAAAATCTTATTTTCATCAATAGAGAAAAGAAATTCTACTTTAAATAAGAAAAAGAATAAAAAGAGATGAGAAATATTATAACTAGAAATATTATTATAAATATCGGGTTAATTTCACAAATGATCACTGAAGTTACACCAAAATAATAAATGGTCACTGAAGTTCCAAACTTAACTGAAATTACATCAAAATAACAAAATTGTCACTGAAGTTCCAAAATAGCAGAGACGGTCTCTCAACTTTCAGTCACTTTCAAAAATGATCACTGAGCAAAATTAAAGGACTTATTTGTTTTAATTGAAACCTAAATTAACAAACTGAGGCCCCTACAAAAGTGGAGGGGCTGATTTGCAATTTCCTTGGAAAAAAACACAAAACCAAACCCTATCCCTTTTCCCTTTAATTTCGAAGTGAAACCAGGTGATTTTCACTGCCCAGACGTTCCAAGCTTCCAACCGGCGAGAAGAAAATCCAGAAACACCGGCCGAAAGTCAGCCTTCACACTCCCAAACCGTAGGTAAGCTTCCAATCAACCTTAATCATCAATTTATTCTTCAAAAACTGCACGGGACAGTGACCATGGTTTCAAATTTTTCAGCGAAAATCGAAGTGTGAGGACCACAATCTTCTAAAATATATTCGACATGTCGGATATGGAGGAACAAGATGAAGGTTAGCATTTTTTGTTTGTTTTTAATAGTTGCCCTTTACCCTTCACGACTACTCACGTTTACGGCCTGTATTATTCAATAAACAAGAAAAATCGGTTTATTTTTAATAGTTGCCCTTTACCCTTCACGACTACTCACGTTTACAGCCTGTATTATTCAATAAACAAGAAAAACCATCCCCCAATCTCAAATAAACCTTCCTACAATCTCCAATTTCAATCTCTATTCTTCATCCCAAATAAACTCTTCTCTACAATATCAATCTCTATTCTTCAATCAAGTATGGAATTTTTATGTTTGAAATTAAAGATTCTAATGTTTATCAGTCTCTATTATGTTTGATTTTCTGATCTTTTATTTTACTATAAGTTCCAACTGGAAACCTATTTTTCTAAAGATGCACCATAATCACCTTCGTTGAATAGTTTTAGCCTGAGATGTTGATCAACTTCAGCTTTATACTTTCAATTGGCGGCCTCTAAATTCCTCTTAATATCCCTTGATAAATTTGTTGGACATTTTCAGCAAACTCTTCAGCGGTAATACTAACATAATTGGTCGGAGGCAAACAAATTAAAATCTATAGTGTGTCAAAGCATTTGAGCTACTTCGGTTTGTGGATGATTGGTACTACTATATTTTAAGAAAGTACGAAACTTCTTTCAAAGTGTCCTCCAGAAATGACTTAAAAATTTGACATCCCTATCGGCAGTAATAAGACTAGGAGCACCATGAAGATGAACCGCCTCCTTGAAAAAGAACCGAGCGATAAGAGAGGCATCGGACGTAAAGGGAATAGAGTGAACCATTTTGGAGAATCTATCAACTACTACAAAAATTGAATCATATCCACATTGAGTCTGAAGGAGTCCAAGAACAAGTCCATGGTCACATATTGTCAAATATTCTATGGAATAGGTAAATTGAGTGTAAAGGCGGGTATTTTGTTCTTGGCCTTTAGCCTATAGACATATAGGGCAACGTTGAACAAATTGACTAAAATCCCGCTTGAGTTGAGGCAATTTATGACTAAACTTTGATTGGTAAAAAGCATTGGTCAAAATTATTATTATTTTTTAGCAACCAATATTTGATCAATGAAGGTACACCATCGATGACCAAATGTTGGTCGGTAAGGTAGTATAGGTAAAAAGTACCAATCACGGACAAACAAAGTTTTGTCGCTCGTGCACTAGCACGGCAACAATCTCATAAACATGAAAATGCTCGTGGATTAAAACAAAAAGAACGATAGTTCATACCCACCCTTTACATGTTCTCTCGAAAGACCACACCAAACCAAGAAAGAAACACGAGATAGATACTTATAGTTAAAAGCGATTACTCCTCAAATGTGTGAAGCATGAAAACAACTTTTAATTGTTGCCGTTAATAAGAATGATAGTTTTAGAGGTAGACTGAAACTGAACATTACCACTGTGGTTTGGAGTGGTTCTAAAAAAAAAAAAAAGGGTTGTTATCTGACACAAAAATGGCTGCTCCTAATTTCCCAACAACATAGGCCTTATAATCTGGGATTTAGCTATATGTATACAGGTGTACATCCCCTCACAATAGGAAGCCCACAAATTTTTTATTGTAAACAATTAGGTTCGAGGTTAGTTTCTAAAATTATTGAGTTAAATTGTAATATTTGGTAGAGAATTCAAGTTGAATAATTGAATCAGTGTAGATGTGGCAATTGATAAGTGTAGTTTTTATACTTATACGTGGCTCTAAATCATGATATTTTGTTTTCCTTTGAATTAAATTCCGTTTAATTTATGTTAAATTGTCATTTGTAGGTAAAACTTTATGTT